TAAAGCTACTTACTTGATTAGCTTTCTTCAGTTTTTCATTTTGATCCTCTAGTCTAGTAATTTTTGCTCGTTCCTCATGATATGCTGTCAGTAATTGTTCATAATTAGCTGATATATTAGTTAACTGTTGTCTCAACCCAGCCAGCTCATTATCCTACAGTAAATGAGTTCATTAAGTGCACACAGTGACACAGACACACACACACAGACACAGACACACACATTGGTCTTAGATATATTATCTAACTGTTGTCTCATCCTAGCCAGCTCACTAGCCTACAGTTAGAAAAGTTACAAAACAAAACATAGTTACAGACTACAGTTACTATAGTTGCAAAAATACACATAGGTGTCATTACATTACCAATTCTAGCTTGGACTGTATTTCATTAGCAAGTCTCTCATTTAACTCACTGACCTATATTAATACATGTATAAGTACATGATACAGATAGGATAATAATGTAAATATGAAACGTAATAAACAATGCTCCTTGTTATTGTACACAGGGTATTTTGTCAACAATGGCTTGAAGAAAGCTCTTCATTTTTATAATTTTTCCTGATACATAAACATTTTTTTTATGTTGCGTGGAAAATTTGAGCTGATTCCAATCAAATTAATTTTTTTACAAATTTTTCGAGTTGCCTCAAAATCTAGTCAAAGTTCCTGTGGACTTTGGTGTATTGGATTAGCAGAGAATTCTCTATTTTTAATTTTTTCTAATACGTATACATGTACATGTTGTTTGAGCTGATTCTATCAAAATAATTTTCATTTGGTCCAAATTACAGTGATTCACACATGTAGTAATATGTAAAGTGTATGTGTATACTTCAGTTTTGTGTTTCTCTTGACTCTGAGTTAAGAGACCTTTTTGCTTGTCCACCTCCCGACTGTAAGCATTGACTTGAGCAGTCAATACTTGAATTTCTTCATCTTGATTCTGATCATTTTTACGACTGTAAGTATTAAGCTGTGTTTTCAGAACTCGTATCTCTTCATCTTGAGTCTTTATTACCTATCATGTACATATAACTGAATTGTTACACTCATAATGTAATACCTCCCCTAGGTTGGCTACTGCTTCTTTATTTAATTTTCTTGCTTCTTCAGTTTTGGTTTTCAGTTCCTCATATTGATCATGTATTCTTTGCCTGTCATTCCTTTCAGATTCAAAGTCTTGTTGGTAAATTGCCAACTAAAAATTAATAATGATTAAAATTACTAATAAAGCTAATTATCAATAATGACAAACCTCTGCTTCCTTTAATTGTATTTTCTCAACTAATTCTTTCATTTGTCTTTCTTGTGTTTTGGTTTTTTTTACAAGCTCATCAACTTGTCCCTTTAATTGCCTTATGATCTGTTTCTTTTCTTCTGGTGCCAAAGGAGCTGTTGTGGTTTTTTCTTCTGTTAACCTCATTATCTCTTGCTCCTTTTCTTCCAACAAGTCATTTAAATCTTCAATTTCTACCACTTTATTACTCAGTTCACCACTTAATTCGTCAATAGCTTTTTTTGTGTTAATCATTTCCTAGAAGTAAAAAGTAAAATCATAACAAGCTAACATAATAATTACTTCTTCAAGGTGCTTTAATAAATCTTTCAATTTTTCTGATTCTTTGTTTAGTGCCTTTATTAGTATAGTGGTTATAATGATGACACACACGTTAGATTAACTACTTTGTAATATTCAAGGTCTGCTGTCAAATTTTGAATAGTTTTATCTTTATCCTAACAAGAAAAATACAAAAAATAATGAACAAGTTATTTCCAATAATAAAGCTTACTTGTAATTGCACTTCAGCTACCCTCAAATCATTTTGAAGAGTTTCTTGGGCTTTCTTTAGTATCCTTTTGTCATCTTCTACTTTAGCAATATGATCATCAAGTCTGGTAACTTTATCCTCAAGCTCTCTGACTTTAGTGCCTTGATCTGATGGACGATTATTATCACCATCACCAGCCTATATGATTACATTATAAAATGCATGGATTTGCATCGAAAACATCTTACATAAGCTGCTAATTGCTTCTCTAGCTCCTTGATTACTGAAGATTGATACATTGATTCTGTTTCCTTTTCCGCCAGAGCTTCGTGATACTCTAGAATTTGTTTATCCTTATTTTCACAATCTCTTTTATATCGATCCCTTTGTAATGTAACCATAATTAGCTCCTGTAATAGGTCAAATCATAAAAGCGTTACCTTTTTATACACAAAGAAAATGATATGATCTGGCTAACTAAGGGCCCAGGATTCTCATACATAATTAAACAAATCCACTTATAATAAATAAATTGATTTTAAAAATTTACAAAGAGGGGCTGATCTGGGGCTCACCACTCGTTGGTACTTTTTACCTTTTGATTTAAT